CCTTATGAACTCCCTCCCCAACCATACACCACTGAAGGTCAGTCAACTTGCTGTTTCTTACATTTATATTACCCTTCCATTCGCATATTTCATTCATCTTATGTCTTTTCATCTCATCTCCTTAGCAGATGTGCCTTGGTCTTGGGACCGGCGGTATAACAAGAAAGATGTTTATGGTCAAGTTTGGCCGCGACATGTTCAGCTCTATGCTACTCAAGAGTCATGAAGTTTTGTGTTTATTTGACTACCATGTACTTATTTATTTTTCGTCAGCTCATTCTGTTTAATTTTAATTTCAAGCATGTTGAGCTTTTGTGTTCCCCTTCTTCCTTTCTAAGGCTCATAGCTGACAAAATTGCAGAAACAGGTTTAGGCTTCAACGACGCGGTTTAAAAAAAAATAAAAATGAAAATACCAAACACGTTCTTAATCTACTCATCAAACTTATGCCGACCTGTTTATTCCGATGATCTGCCTTAAATCAATGTAATCAAAAGTTGAAAAGAAGAGGAATGAGGAACCACAGGTAATTAATTTCTTTGACTGAATAAATCTTCAAAATCACGTGTACACAATATATATAAATATTTTTTAAAATTTTCAATTTCGAAGTTTTTTACTCTAATTTTTTGCAGGACCGTCTTTAATAATATTTTGAGTGCATTTAAACCGAAATAATTATTTTGATACAATTTAATTTGAAATGATTTGAGCAGGGAGGAGGGGGGAAGTAGATAACAACAGCATTGAAAGATTAAAACCTGAAAATCCGAGATTGCATAATAAATGGATAACGTTCTTTGATTCTTTCTAATTAATCCAGAATTTGAATCCCTTTAAGTTTTAAAAACAACATGCAAATCGGATACAGTTACAACTCATTTATGCCACCCTTTTACGTGCACACATATATACACACACAAACAGAAGAACAAATTGAAAATGGATGTGATCCTTGAGCCCCAAAGAGGAAGATCCTTCACCATTGAAGTGGGTTACTTTGACACAGTCCTGGAGATCAAAGAAAAGGTCCAGAAATACCAAGGCATTTCTGTTCCCCACCAAACCCTTGTCTTCAATGGCCAAGTCCTTGAAGACGACAAAGACGTTGCCTACTGTGAGATCCTCAACAACTCTCACGTTCAACTCATCGTTGCCTCCGAATCCGAAAAACCCACCACCACCAACAACAACAACAATGTCAAGGTGGAAGACTCGTCGCCCTCCAATAAAATCCAGCTCAACGTGAAGATCCCCACATCCAAAATGCATGTCCCTGTTGAAATGGACATAAACGACACCGTTACAAAACTAAAAGAAAAAATTCAAGCGATGGATCAAGCTGTCCCAGTTGGTCGTTTGGTGCTCCATTCACTTGGCAATGAGTTGCAAGATCATCGTTCCTTACGTGATTATGAGCTTTCAGACAATGCGGAGATCGAGGTGAGCTTGAGACCGTCCCCAACGGCAGTGGCAGCGGTGGCTTCACCGGTGGCAATGGGTGGTACCGGGGGTGCGGGTGTGGCGGTGTCGAGGAATAAGTTAAAGCTGATGGTGTTGCCCAAGTGCGGGACGAAGAAAATTCCGGTGGAAATGAACCCATCAGATAATGTAGGGGAGCTAAGAAAGGAGCTTCAGAAGTTGCACCAAAGGCTACACTTTCATTTGCCACAAGAGAGCTACTTCTTCATCTATAAGCAGAATGTGATGGAGGACGACAGGTCGTTTCGGTGGCATCAAGTTGGGCAGGGTGATACTATAGAGATTTTCAATGGGAGCGTTACAGGTGGATCCTAGGTTGCTAGTTAGAACATGTTTCCTTAACTTGTCTCTTAATCTTTTTTGTGCAATTTCGATAGGTACCATGATTTTTATGCATGGGGAATAAGTAGTGATTATATGTCAAATTAATCTTAAGTATGAGTTTCCTAATCCCATTGCTTAATATTTCTTTTTCCATTTTACTGCATTGAGATAATCAAAAGCGTCTCTAACTTCACAAAAGAACTTGGAAGTGCATGCTTTCTTGGTGCATTTGGATTTTTAATAAAAACTTGAACATACTTAAAATAAAAGTACTTTTAAAAAAAAATGCTTTGTACAACTTGATCTTTTTTAGTTTTTATTTATTTTTTTGTGGGTAATTCGCTAGGGAGGGGGAGTACTATATTGGGTTGCCTCAAAATTGTCTCCTATGTAAATTGAATTCGAGTGCACTTAGAGAAAGGAGAGAGTTTGACTCACTTTTCCACTATGGTGTCACCTTATGTGCGATCTTTTTTTCAGTTCGATTTTGAAGAATTTATATATCCAAATTTAATTGGAAATAATGAAAATTCAGCATTTAACTAACAAAAACAAAAAATCGTAAAACAATATAGAAAGAAAAATAAATTTCATTACCCCTAACAAAAACAAAAATAAAAAACTTATTTGTTGTGCCATTTCCGTAGGACCAATATAGACAATAAATCGCAAAACGATACCAACTCCGTAGGACCGTAGGAACAAAAGCCCACTTATAAAGGGCTGTATAGGCCCAAAAAATCCAAAGGGCTTTGCTCCTAAAAAATAAAAGGCAAATATTATTAAAACACTTAATTTATTGTTTCACCCATAGAATTCGAATTCACTCTCCCTCAATCACCTAAAACTCAAATTTCCTCACTTTATCCCTCATTCTTCCATTCCGTCTCAAATGTTACCTCATCTCCTCAACGCCATCTTATTTTCCCGTTAAACTGACCTCTCTTTCTCCCCCCAACCCAACCCTCATTGCACCACACCCCCTCCCCTTCTTCTTTCTTCTATCTTTTATTTTCTCTCTGCCTCTCTTCTCTCCCATCCCCTCTCCAACCCAACTCCCAACGCACCTCTATTGCACCCCACCCATTCCCTCCTTATGCCTCTCTCTTTATCTCTGCCGCTCTCACTTTCTCTGCCTTTCTTCTCTCCTCTCTCCTTGCCAGACCCAATCCTCACCGCAGACCTAACCCTTCATGGAATTACAAAGAGGCCCATAGAAGAAAGAATATGGGAGGGGGTGGGGTGCGATGAGGGTTGAGGGTTGGGGGTTGGGGAGGGGATGAGAGAAAATATAGAAGATAAAGAGGCTAAAATTACTAGAATGCTCATGTCACTTCAACACAGTTAATGGTTTTGTGACGGAATGGACACAAGTGGTAAAGTGAGAAAAATTTCAGCAATTTTTAAAAATTTAAGAGGTAAAGTGAGGAAATTTTCGTTCCAAGTGGTTAAGTGAAAGCAATCCCGAGTTACAAGGAATGAAACAATAAATAAGCCATAACAAAAAAGGAGACAATAATTTCCTAAACCACCTCCTTAGAGCATCCACAATGGGCTCCCTAAATCACCTCCTTAGATAAATTTTAAGGAGGAATCGTAAAAATGCAACTCCAACCACATTCCCTATCCACCTCCTAAAATAGGGAGTTCTCTAGGTGTTCCTAAATCTGAGGAGAGAGAAAGGACTCCTAATGGCTCCTTATAATTTAATGCTGCTTTATTTAATGAGTATTTCAAACCTTTATTTAATGCTAACTATTTTTTATTTTATTTTATAATAGAGATGGACCAATTAAAAAAGAGTTAAAACATTTATGACTCTCCAAATTAGAGAGTATGGTTGGAGTTGAAATTTTTTAGAGAGCTCCTAAAATAGTTTTCTTATATTCTTAGCCAAAATTTAGCTAAGAAATAGAGAGCATCATTGTGGATGCTCTTACCTCATCCCCTCAATGCCGTCTCATTTTCCCGTTAAACTGACCTCTCTCTCTCCCCCCAACCCAACCCTCATTGCACCACACCCCCTCCCCCTATTCTCTCTTCTATCTTTTATTTTATCTCTGCCTCTCTCTTCTATCCCACCCCCTCACCAACCCAACTCCCAATGCACCTCTATTGCACCCCACCCATTCCTTCCCTATGCCTCTCTCTTTATCTCTGCCACTCTCACTTTCTCCACTTCTCTCTTCTCTCCTCTCTCCTCAGTTATGAGTCATTAACTTGCCAAACTCTGAGATTTCAATTATTCAAGACTTGTGTGTGTGTGTGTGTGTGGGGGGGGGGGGGGGGGGGGGGGGGGGGGGGTGGGGGGTGGGGGGTTGGGGAGGGGATGAGAGAAAAGATAGAAGATAAAGGGGCTAAAATTACTAAAATGCTTATGTTACTTCAACACACTTAACGGTTTTGTGAACGGAATGGACACAAGTGGTAAAGTGAGAAAAATTTCAACCATTTTTAAAAATTTAAGAGGTAAAGTGAGGGAATTTTCGTTCCAAATGGTTAAGTGAGGGGAATCTTGAGTTACAACTACAAGGAATGAAACAATAAATAAGTCATAACAAAAAAAGAGAATAATTTCCCCACTTTCATAGAACGAAGAGCCACCCACCCCACTTGAAATATAAAAATATATTTCTTTTGGCTTGACTTTAAAATGGGTAATGTTGTTTAATATATTTTTAATTAATTAAGCAAATAAAATATAACTTTGATAATCATGTTTAGTGTTTCTATACAATGTATGTTATTGCCGCCATTTGTTTTGGTAAACAGCCTTTGTACATATTAATTCTGGCCACAAAATAAATTTTAAAATTGAATTGGTGAGATAATGAAAAAGAAAAATTACGTGATGAGAAAGCAAACAGAAAAACAAATACTCCTACCGAATGATTGCGGATTAGTCGTCGTAATAATCGGAAAAACATAGGGCTAAAAAAGTAATAATAATTAATGTGGAAGATAGCGCCGTGAGGGTCCCGTGACGCACCAATACAAGCCAATGATAGAGTCATTTGACGTCATCATCGACCTCAGAATTAGCTCACAAAAGGAGACTAGATACCAAACTTTGCCGTCTAAACCGCGCCAGCGGCACATCTTTTCCTTTCCCATACGTGTCGCCAAATCAGTGGACCTCCTCGTCACGCCTAGTCCGGATCCGTGACGAAGTCTCCTTCTCTTTTGCTATAAAAGAAGAGGCCTCCGCTTCTTCTTTTCTTCACAATTGAAATTGTTTCGTTTCTCAACATTCAAAGAAATTCCCTTCAATTCTCTCGAAGCCTCTTTTTCAGCCTGTCAAGGTATCGTCTCTCTCTCTACTTTCCCTGTTTAATTTGTTTTAAAATTTTAGATCTAAATGCTTAGTTTGTGTTTCATTTGTTTGACCTTTGAGATTTATGATCGATCGATTGGATCCTTATACCTTTGATAGTTTTGCGTGTTTAGTTATAGTTTTTGACTATTTGGGAATGGAAATCGGAATTTGGTATGATAATTTTGCCCTGCATCTACGATCTATGTTTCTGTTTCACAAATTAGGGGTTTTTCTGTATCCTGTCTCACGGATCTTGAAGTCTTTGCGATTAGATCTATTGATTTAGCGAATTAGGGATTTGTAAGATTTTTGATATATCGAACTTGAAACCCATGTGTCAATTTTACTTATGATGTTGAAGTTTCTACTTTTTTCCTGGTAGTCTTTTGATTTTGGAACAAAAATTGTGCCGTTGATTTGTGTTTTATTCGATTGTGCTTTTATTTATGATTTATTCATTTCCAAATTAGGGTGTTTTTTCGTCATCTATTTGCGGATTTGCTAGTTGTTTACCGAAATTAAAAGTTTTGATCTTTAAACTGTGAAGCCAATTCTTATGTGATTTTGGTTCCTGTAGATGCAAATCTTCGTGAAAACCCTTACCGGCAAGACCATCACCCTTGAGGTGGAGTCATCTGACACCATCGACAATGTCAAGGCTAAGATCCAGGACAAGGAGGGCATCCCTCCAGACCAGCAGCGTCTCATCTTCGCTGGAAAGCAGCTCGAGGACGGCCGTACCCTCGCTGACTACAACATCCAGAAGGAGTCAACCCTCCACCTGGTGCTCCGTCTGCGTGGTGGCATGCAGATCTTCGTCAAGACCCTCACCGGCAAGACCATCACCCTTGAGGTCGAAAGCTCCGACACCATTGACAACGTCAAGGCCAAAATTCAAGATAAGGAAGGTATCCCCCCAGACCAGCAGAGGCTGATCTTCGCCGGCAAGCAGCTGGAGGATGGCCGTACCCTCGCAGATTACAACATCCAGAAGGAGTCAACCCTCCACCTGGTGCTCCGTCTGCGTGGTGGCATGCAGATCTTCGTCAAGACCCTCACCGGCAAGACCATCACCCTTGAGGTCGAAAGCTCCGACACCATTGACAACGTCAAGGCCAAAATTCAAGATAAGGAAGGTATCCCCCCAGACCAGCAGAGGCTGATCTTCGCCGGCAAGCAGCTGGAGGATGGCCGTACCCTCGCAGATTACAACATCCAGAAGGAGTCAACCCTCCACTTGGTGCTCCGTCTGCGTGGTGGTATGCAGATCTTCGTCAAGACCCTCACCGGCAAGACTATCACCCTGGAGGTCGAGAGCTCCGACACCATTGACAACGTCAAGGCTAAGATTCAAGATAAGGAGGGCATCCCACCAGACCAGCAGAGGCTGATCTTCGCCGGAAAGCAGCTCGAGGATGGCCGTACCCTTGCTGACTACAACATCCAGAAGGAGTCCACTCTCCATTTGGTGCTTCGTCTCCGTGGTGGTATGCAGATTTTTGTCAAGACCCTGACGGGAAAGACCATCACTCTGGAGGTCGAGAGCTCGGACACCATTGACAATGTCAAGGCGAAGATCCAGGACAAGGAGGGTATCCCACCAGACCAGCAAAGGTTGATCTTTGCAGGGAAGCAGCTCGAGGATGGCCGTACCCTTGCTGACTACAACATCCAGAAGGAGTCCACGCTCCATTTGGTGCTTCGTCTCCGTGGTGGTATGCAGATCTTCGTGAAGACCCTGACCGGAAAGACTATCACTTTGGAGGTCGAGAGCTCGGACACCATTGACAATGTCAAGGCGAAGATCCAGGACAAGGAGGGTATCCCACCAGACCAGCAAAGGTTGATCTTTGCAGGGAAGCAGCTCGAGGATGGCCGTACCCTTGCTGACTACAACATCCAGAAGGAGTCCACGCTCCATTTGGTGCTTCGTCTCCGTGGTGGTATGCAGATCTTCGTGAAGACCCTGACCGGAAAGACTATCACTTTGGAGGTCGAGAGCTCGGACACCATTGACAATGTCAAGGCGAAGATCCAGGACAAGGAGGGTATCCCACCAGACCAGCAAAGGTTGATCTTTGCAGGGAAGCAGCTCGAGGATGGCCGTACCCTTGCTGACTACAACATCCAGAAGGAGTCCACGCTCCATTTGGTGCTTCGTCTCCGTGGTGGTATGCAGATCTTCGTGAAGACCCTGACCGGAAAGACTATCACTTTGGAGGTCGAGAGCTCGGACACCATTGACAATGTCAAGGCGAAGATCCAGGACAAGGAGGGTATCCCACCAGACCAGCAAAGGTTGATCTTTGCAGGGAAGCAGCTCGAGGATGGCCGTACCCTTGCTGACTACAACATCCAGAAGGAGTCCACGCTCCATTTGGTGCTTCGTCTCCGTGGTGGTATGCAGATCTTCGTGAAGACCCTGACCGGAAAGACTATCACTTTGGAGGTCGAGAGCTCGGACACCATTGACAATGTCAAGGCGAAGATCCAGGACAAGGAGGGTATCCCACCAGACCAGCAAAGGTTGATCTTTGCAGGGAAGCAGCTCGAGGATGGCCGTACCCTTGCTGACTACAACATCCAGAAGGAGTCCACGCTCCATTTGGTGCTTCGTCTCCGTGGTGGTATGCAGATCTTCGTGAAGACCCTGACCGGAAAGACTATCACTTTGGAGGTCGAGAGCTCGGACACCATTGACAATGTCAAGGCGAAGATCCAGGACAAGGAGGGTATCCCACCAGACCAGCAAAGGTTGATCTTTGCAGGGAAGCAGCTCGAGGATGGCCGTACCCTTGCTGACTACAACATCCAGAAGGAGTCCACGCTCCATTTGGTGCTTCGTCTCCGTGGTGGTATGCAGATCTTCGTGAAGACCCTGACCGGAAAGACTATCACTTTGGAGGTCGAGAGCTCGGACACCATTGACAATGTCAAGGCGAAGATCCAGGACAAGGAGGGTATCCCACCAGACCAGCAAAGGTTGATCTTTGCAGGGAAGCAGCTCGAGGATGGCCGTACCCTTGCTGACTACAACATCCAGAAGGAGTCCACGCTCCATTTGGTGCTTCGTCTCCGTGGTGGTATGCAGATCTTCGTGAAGACCCTGACCGGAAAGACTATCACTTTGGAGGTCGAGAGCTCGGACACCATTGACAATGTCAAGGCGAAGATCCAGGACAAGGAGGGTATCCCACCAGACGAAGGAGTCAACCCTCCACTTGGTGCTCCGTCTGCGTGGTGGTATGCAGATCTTCGTCAAGACCCTCACCGGCAAGACTATCACCCTGGAGGTCGAGAGCTCCGACACCATTGACAACGTCAAGGCTAAGATTCAAGATAAGGAGGGCATCCCACCAGACCAGCAGAGGCTGATCTTCGCCGGAAAGCAGCTCGAGGATGGCCGTACCCTTGCTGACTACAACATCCAGAAGGAGTCCACTCTCCATTTGGTGCTTCGTCTCCGTGGTGGTATGCAGATTTTTGTCAAGACCCTGACGGGAAAGACCATCACTCTGGAGGTCGAGAGCTCGGACACCATTGACAATGTCAAGGCGAAGATCCAGGACAAGGAGGGTATCCCACCAGACCAGCAAAGGTTGATCTTTGCAGGGAAGCAGCTCGAGGATGGCCGTACCCTTGCTGACTACAACATCCAGAAGGAGTCCACGCTCCATTTGGTGCTTCGTCTCCGTGGTGGTATGCAGATCTTCGTGAAGACCCTGACCGGAAAGACTATCACTTTGGAGGTCGAGAGCTCGGACACCATTGACAATGTGAAGGCGAAGATCCAGGACAAGGAGGGGATCCCACCAGACCAGCAGAGGTTGATCTTTGCAGGGAAGCAGCTGGAGGACGGCCGTACTTTGGCTGACTACAATATTCAGAAGGAGTCTACCCTTCACCTTGTGCTGCGTCTGAGGGGTGGTATGCAGATCTTTGTGAAGACCTTGACTGGGAAGACCATCACTTTGGAGGTGGAGAGCTCGGACACAATCGACAATGTTAAGGCCAAGATCCAGGATAAGGAAGGTATTCCCCCAGACCAGCAGAGGTTGATCTTTGCTGGTAAGCAGTTGGAGGATGGAAGGACTCTGGCCGACTATAACATCCAGAAGGAGTCTACCCTTCACCTTGTCCTCCGTCTCCGTGGTGGTTTCTAGGAAGTGGAAGTCTCTGGTGTCACCCTGCTTTTTATGAATGTTTCTGTGGTTCCCTTTAAACAATGTTTTTAAGTTTCAAGTTTCATGGTACTGTTTCTGCCTCTTGGGGAGGCATTTATCTAGTTTGGTTTCCTGGTACTTATTGTTTAATAAATAAATTTGTTCTTGCGTAATAATTTGATCTCTGTGGTTGTTGTTTGTCCGAGTTAAATCTGTTTGCATGATCTATTTGCAGATGGTAAGGCTACTTGGGTAGCATGTTGTTTCCTGTTTATCGTTTGCAGTGGTTGAATTATTTGTTTGTATGCGTACTATGGGAGTTATTTGTTTCAGAAATGTTGTGTCCGAGTGTTTCGTCCCTTTTGCTCTTCTAACGTAAGCTCGATGGCTTCACACCAAGTCTTCACTGACATAATATGCGTGCTTAAGTAGGGTCAGGCAGAACCGTTGTTGCCTGATGGGAACTTCCCGACGAATTTGATCCGAATGATGATGTTGCTGATGATCCATCTAATATTTGGATAAAATGTTTCCTCATCTCTGCAATGCCCCTGACCCTTCTTTATTCTCCACCGAAACCGATGTGTAACGCTGCCTTCAAAATTGCTTAGATTGCTTTCTGCTTTGAAGTGGTTATCTATGCACCCAGGGCAAACAGGAATGGCGAAGGGATCAGAAGACTGAAATATTACTGCAGGATTACTAAAAGTAGCTATGTTTGGTAGCTATGCTATGATTAGCCTGGCAATACACTCTTCCTCTTCCGTTGATAGTAGTATTCTCGTTCACTGATTATTATTTGGTAGTTTTCCTTCCGTTATCTTTTGAAAAAGTCCAATCTAATAGATTAAATAGTTTTACGCAATAAGCCACTTGGGGACTTCAAATTTTTAAGGTTTGGTTTAGGCATGAACTCGACTTGCAGACTCGTAATGTTTTTGGCCATGTTCTGTGTGTCAACACCGTTCTCATATCATTTGATAGTAGTTTGCAATATCACCTCATAATATATTTGACTTCCTATGAGTTGCTTGCCATTCATGTAAGATAACAGTCGATAGAAGGAGGATGACAGATACACATATTGGATCTTGAGTATTTGATCCAAATGATTCTTAGACAGCTCAGAAAACAAAATGGGTGGGTTCTCTACACTTGGGAACTCTCGTCTATGTCTATTATCCATATCCGATTTGGACGAATTGTGTGGTTTCTTTGTTCTTCAACAACACATTGATTACTTTAAAATAAATATGTCGTTGTACTTCTCCACAACACATTGATTACTTGGTATCAGCTTGGATTATGAACACAGTGCTTTGGCTATCTGCTGCATCTGTGTATCCAAGATAAAGCGTCTTTTCCTTTTTATCTCTGCATTTTGTTCCATGATCCATCAAATTACAACTAATCTATGCTTCAAGGAAGCCTCAATCCGTTTGTTTGCTACTTACTTTTCACTCTCTTCTAATCTGAATTCTAGTAATGCAATGGACCAAGCTATTAAGTTGTCAATGTCATTCGATTTTAGTCTCTGGCATCATGTTCCTTTTTGTTTGTCAGACAATGACGGCCCTGCTAAGCTCCAAACAGAAACCACATGTTTTCTGGAAACTAGATCGGAATGAAAGGCTCTCTTTCGTTGGTTCAACTTCAAAGCAAGCTTTGCCGGACCCTCCCCTCTCATGTTCCGTGTTGGTTTTTTCTTGTCACGTTCTCTCCGTACCGTACGTCAGGGATTCGGGTTAAGATACTTTTATAGTTCTGCGGCCACAACTTCCATTCAATTTAGTATGTCAATGGATCCAATTTTGATCCGATTTCGTTCTGAATCTGATCCAATCCTGCTGGTCTGTAATGACAGTGATCATCCAATTGTTAATACAAATCCGACAACTTAATATTCAAGGGTAGGCTAATTTCGAACCATGCAAATAATGTGGTGAATTGACATCCGATAAAATAAAGTGAGAAGATATGGATTTATCTGTCATGAATTTGACTCGTAATATTCTTCGGATTTCCTATTCATCTACAGATGCCTACCTTCAACTACCATTCTTTGCTTCTTGAGAACCATTCACCATCTATCTACTATTGGTCTCAACTCTCAAGCCTGTCTTTCCAAATATCTTAGCATTGCAAATCACTACTTAAGGGGCTCCATTGCCTCAAAGTAGCAGCACCCTGTTGACTTCCTCCCCAGAATTCTATGACAAATGGCCGACTCCGAACACTCTTCTTCCGATGACTCTTTCTCGGACTCTCAAGCTACAGGTACCTATTTGTCTCAACTGTTTGGGATAGGCATTTATGTTCTCTACTGTGTTTTCTTTAACCAAAGGGTTTTGATTTAACCTGTTTTCCCTTCGATTTGTTCCCTACCATCTGTGTTTCTCCTTTTGTTTGTAGCCTGCCAAATAGGGTTTTGTGACTCTGCTTTTCAGATGTTTATTGCAAGTTCGTTTTGAAAGAGAAAACGAAAGGCTTTCATGAACTCCTGTGGTTGATTTTGAGTTGTTTATCTCAGAGAAAAGCAGACAAGAACCTGAGCTTCAATTCTCCGAGGACGAGGAAGCACTTATTATAAGAATGTACAATCTAGTGGGAGAGAGGTTGGTTCTTCTTTTTCTTCTTTAGCATTGTAATTTTCTTTCTGAGCACAAAACAAAGAGCTTGCATATCTCAAGGTTAGTTTTTTTTTTCCTTCTCTTTTCTCATTATGAATAGGTGGGCTTTGATTGCTGGGAGGATTCCCGGAAGAACAGCAGAAGAAATTGAGAAGTACTGGTCCTCTACAAACTCGACAAGTCAATAAACAATTAGGTCAATCTGTTGTGTGACTCTATCTCAACTTTCCCAAGCTTGCATTGCAGAATTTGCGGTTGGAACTGGACCAACTTGTAATATTGAACATAAGATCAATGTACAAAGTAATGTTCCAAGAGTTGCCAATCTAATAATATTCTTCGACATATTCCATTCTTGTCTTGGTTCTTTATTTTATTTACGTTCAAAAGAAATCTTCATTGAGTCATGACCTATTTAACCCATGAGAATCGTAACCGAAAACGAATGTTTTAGAATGTTTGCAAACTGTATAAGGCTAATCTAAAATTGTTTGATATTGACATTTGTTAACCAAAACAAGGACAGCTTTGGGATAATAACCCTCTGTCAATGACCACCTGTGACTCGCCCTATGTCGGTGACTACCTGTGACTCGCGAACCACAAACCATAGCCTTCAGGCCAGGATCAGGAGCCACAGGCTATGAACCATAGCATAAGATTCAGATTCCAGCAAATCAATCAATGTCCAAGAAAATCTCAGTATCCAAAAACTGAAAGAAAAAGCATGTTCAGAATAAATAACTTGCATTCAAAAGCTCAGAGGTAATCATTTAGCTTAGCTTCTTTGAGTAAATATCAATGATCAAAGAATAAAACTAAACAAAGTACACGTTATAACTAAAAGGTTAACATTCACAGCCTGAATTACAAATATGGTATGCTCTGGCTTGATGACCAGGGGTCCAGGGATGAGGGACCAAATATATGAATCAACAGTTTAGCTATGAGTCAGCACACCAAATAGACAATGCCAACCAACAACATCTGACTTGCATTATACATTGCTTTGCTTGTAGAACTTGGTGTCGAGTACTTGCTTACCGCACATCGCGCAAACTCCTGCATAACATCACATACATTAGACTTTCCAGCAATAACCAAAGGTAACAAACCAGCTAGATCAACAATTAGAAATAATACCTTTGGAGTAAGCACAGGTGTGACAGTATTTTCCATCCTGATGCACTTGCTGCTTGCAAATCATGCACTTGGTAGTTCCATAAGGAGTCCACCTACAAGCAAAACAAATGAGATTGAAGTTAACAACTTACGTGCGAGATGCGATCACATGTGATACATCACACAAAAAACTCAATAAATGGCAATGCTATTGTACACATGAATCATCAACTGACATAACAACTCATTGCAACTATATGATTTAGAAGCTGTACATATGTTCTGTATCTCTGGTCTCTGCAATAACCCACACAACTCCTCTATTGCAATACCTCAATTTCAAAATATACGACGAAAAACCTCTGTTTATTCTTTATCAGGTAAGTAAATAGAAAATTTCTTCAAGTCTAATTCCCTTCTCTATATTATCTAATCTAAAGTTTGATCGCAGTCTACTCTTATAATTTAGTAAATAAATAAAAAACTCATGACCGTATGCCAAGAAGTAACACAAGCAAAAGCCAACATAGAAATTTGATAAAAAAAGGTATGCTGAAATCAAACAAAAATTCTACTTCAAATGCTAAAATCAAGTAAAAACCTCACTGAATACACATATACAAAAAATATATTTATATAAATTTAAAAAAAGCGGACCTTTTCTTCTTGGAGAGGAGCTTGTTCTCGTTGATTTTACGGCCACCGCCCTCGGTGGTGTTACTGGCACCTTCCTTCCACTTGTCTGGCACAATCACCTTCGAAAGCTTCTTCTCACCTATGTATTTAACAAATTCACTTAAAGAAATTCAGAAAATTATCAAAAATATTAAAAATCCGAATTCTTTGAGGCAAAAAGTATCAATCAGAGTTCACAAACTGCGTCCAATCTCTATTTTCGCCTATTTTTAAGAAAAGAAAAGAATTTTGCAGAAAGTTGATAATGAATTCAAAGAAACTTACACTTCTCGCACACCATTCTTTATTCTTGTTCTATGAATTGCGATTTCACTCTGGAAAAGAAAAACCCTAATTGTACCTTTGGGTTTGGGTTTGGATTGGGAGTCTTCTGTTCGTTGGTCTCGCGTTTCAACGTACCGTTTTGGTGTTTTCTTTGACACCCCGTGAATTTATTAATTGACTAATACCATCCATCCACCGACTAAAAAAGTCATTCAAACCGTTGGATTTGAGTTGGCCGATATCCACCGTTGGATTTGCTGGCTCCTCAAATAGAAACTTTCGCTGATCTCGACGTTTAAAAGCTTCTGACATTAAAAGATTATTCAAAAGCTAATAGGAAATCTCATGGTTTGAGTCTCAACATTCGCGTGTGTCTGTGTGAGTTTAGTATGTTATTGTTTTTTTTAATAGGAAATATTATTATATTGACATATGGTAACGTTGTTATTAACTTATTAGCGGATTATTATTTTGTTTTTCCAACCAAAAAAAATTGAGGATTTTTGTTTTGAATTAAAGAATGAAAGAGGGGTTTTTTTTTTTGGTCAACGAATGAGAGAGGGTTTCATAGAGTGAAAGAGGATAAATTGTAAGTATTTTTCCGAAGTTTGCTCATGTGTTTAACTGTTAGATTAATTAAATGCTCTAGATATTGTGAAATTTGAATATATGCAAAATTTCTAAATATAAAGATTCGGAATTCGTTGATTATTTTATATAGTGTTTAGGAAAGGAATGAATACATTAAATTAAACCTTTTATTGAACAAAATTGATTTAATAAATTTAATAAAAACCCAATAGCCAAAGACAATGATGACCTACAAAAACACATCTTGGTGTGTTCCCAAATTGTGATTACAAAACTTTACATTACTATATTCATTCCCATGGACTCAATGGGCACTCCACTGGCAAAGTTGGGTAGCGTTCGGAATCCTTGCAATAATCATAAATAACGAGATTTCTCTGTATCCAAGCATAGTCCATTTTCTGAGCATCAGAGAGGTGCCAAGCATCATATTGGTCCCACCAATTCTTTGTTGTGGTGGAGACGCATGCAGGGTAAGGGTCTTCCCATTGGCACCCATCAACATTGAAGTCTCTGTAAGAGGACACAAATGGGGCTTTCTTCCAGTCTGTCTTCTCAAGCCCACCTCTGGTTGCCCACTCATCTGCATTCCATATGCTGGAGAACAAGTACATTGGCTTCTCATTGGGGAAGAAGTTGTTTGCTTCCCCATTGTTCTTGAACACTCTTATGGGAACTTTGTCCGCAAAAAACCTGTATGCAACAAAAATCAAGTGCAAGATTGGTAAGTTTTCAGTATTGTTCATGCTAAGAGCAATGGTGTTACATAAATAGAATTTGGGAAATTATGTTGTACAACTAAGTATGACATACAGTTGTCCGTTAGATCACCAATTGTTTTGCTGATCTAACGATTCGTCCGTATGCCGTACTTTGCTGTCTCATGGAACCAGAAGCATGTGACAATGTGGCAAATGACATCTCTTTAGCATGAGGGATCAATCAGTATGTGTCAGCAGATATAAAATAAAAGGAAGATGGATATAAAGGAGAGACTTGGTAACTCAGGTCATACACCAAGAGCCAAAAGGAAGATATATACTAAACTTACACAATCTGATGATTGTTCCAAAGAATTGAATAGGTATGAAAGTCCTCGGTGGGGTCGAACCAAAGCATGTGCCTCATCTCACGGCCTCCAGTTCCATTCTTGTAAACATTTGTCTGAATGAGATAAGGTTGCCCGCTCCTATTTCCCAAGAACTCAAAATCTAACTCATCCCTCTCTGGCCCTGCTCCATTTTCTGTGCACATCTGCAACAAGTACGATTTCAATCTTAGACATGTAACTTAGTACAAAAAAGAAACTACAAAGACAGACATGGGATTGTGATTGGCTTTCATGAAAGCTTAAAGACTTACATAATAAGCTGTCACTACACCAGCAGAGTCACCTCCAACCAACTTGAGCTTCATGCTGAACCATCCAAATCTGTACTTCTGTTTTGTCTGAAACCCGCAACCTATTCAATTACAAAGAAACCAAGAAAAGAAAGTTATGTGATTGCTAGCAAAGTTTCAAGTAGTACTGAAACTGATGCAAATTCTCAAGTAAGATTCACACATAAGTATTGAACAGAAATCAATCTTTGTTGCTGATAAATCTTGTTCATGTTTACCTGTTTCTTTGTCCAGGGAAAGATACCAGATCTCCCCATCTGCAGAGGTTTTAAAATGGTTCTCAGACCACATTATGTCGAAATTGTCTTCGAAAGAAGTGGCTGGGGCAGCCGCTTCAGATGAAGAAGAAGAGCAAGCAGCAATGAGTAGTGCAATGTAAAGAAGAATAGGCATCAGAGATGCCATTCTTTCCATTTTGGGTGGAAGACTTTTGGAGGCAGAGAATCTGAAGAAAGTGAGAATGGATGGGAGCTTGTTTCAGCTGGATCTCCAGGAGGAGGAGGAGGTGTGCATTAAATGATCAGAATATGAAAATGACTTGGGAAAGGCTAAGACTGGAACCGAGTCACATTTCCTTGTCTGGTTAATTTATTTGGTTATTATTTATATCACTTCTGCACAGCACAGTCCTGCTTATGACTTATAAATTTTCAAGACAGGGTCATTGGGGAATATTTCTAGATGAAAATGACTAAAATAAGAAGCTCAGAATTAGGACTGAAGAAGCCAGGCTGCCCTCCAATGGTCTTTGGCAATTGGCAGAAAACAGAGATGAGGTGGGGTGGGGTCCATGTGTTGCCTGTGGGAACGTGATAGATTGTGATTGGTCTTACAATAATCGGAAGTTCTTGGATCTAGACAACTGGATTTGGTTGTCGAGAAATGCAGCAAATTATTTAGTATTGTGTCTGTAATTAAGAGTGAGCATAAAGGATTAAACAAGGTTAAAGTTAACTTAAACTTGCTTTGGTCAATCAAACAAAGAAAAAGTACCTTGTAAAGCCTGAGATTTCTCCAGTCTAGTTTCTTTCCCCCAAAACAATGGTTGCTTTTTCTTGGTAATAAAACATGACCAACATGCTAAACACCATAACCAATAAAGAAGGAAGATATCCTAGAAAAAGACATGGAAAATTAAAAACAACAATAAACCAGGAATAAAACAATGTACCCATCTCTCTCTCATGAGTCCTGTGGGCAGCCAAGCAAGAAGTTTTATAATAATTAACATTAGATTTTTGAGTAAAAACTTGAAACATTGAGCTGCATCCATATGCCAGGCAACTGAGATGCAGCCAGATCATGTGGTCATGAGGAACCCACCAATTGAATAATTGAGGAGATTATTAATGGATTGATGGTGATATCAAGGGCTAGCAATAAGTCAAGCTTTTCATTTGTTTATCAGCAAAGCAATGCCATCTTATTTTTGGATTGATCTGCTAAATTTGAATGGTAGAAAAATAGGAAATACCTTTTTTCCGGTGTCTTACTGGGTCTCCTATGGACCAGTCGACGTAGGAATATGCATGTGGGGTCAGCAGCAACATCACTTTTCTCCATTTCCCCCGAGCACTCCTTTCTCTTTTACTGGGTATTTTTGAATATCTGACTTTTACATTGACATTGGAGACAAAAGTTTGGCTTTTTTTTTTCTGGTAAGCAAAAATTGGTGAGAACCAAAAAGAACTAACAAGTCTGCAAAAGCAACCCCAGGAACACATCATATGCATTTATTACAAAAGGCCCCAAGAAGCAAATATGAGCAACAAAAACAGGAGCCAGCCAATGGTTCTACAGGTTAAAGGGAAACTGGGAAGTCTGCAAAGAAACCTGGCAAAAAAGAGTACCGCCGTGCGGCTATACTATGGTTTTTAAAAAAAATAGTATAGCCGAACGGCGATATTAAAATTATAAATAGTATAGCCAGGCGGCTATACTACAGCCCTTTTTAAACAAGCGGGCCTCCTTTTTTTATTTTTTAAATTATAAATAGTATAGCCTGGCGGCGATACAACGGTTTTTTTAAAAACGAGTATAGCCACGCGGCTATACTATTTTTGACACGTGCGTAGGAGCTAGAGGGTCTTTTTAATTTTTTTAATTTTAAATAGTATAGCCGATCGGCTGTACTACGGTTTTTTTTTAAAAAAAAAAAAAGAGTATCGCCGCTAATTTTTTATTTGTAATTATATAGTACAGATTTTAAAAAAGAAGAAGAGTATAGCCGCCCGGCTATACTAGTTTTACACGTGGCCAGCTCTGGGCCATCCTTTTTATATATTTTTAATTATAAATAGTATAGCCGGTCGGCTATAATATTTTTGAGGCATACCGGGTTGCCCTTTTGTATTTTTATTTTATGGTTTTACCTTTCCACTGAAGCCAACCCAACCCAACAGTCTCCTGCTGTTAGAACCAGAAGCCCAAAACTCGACTCGTTTGTTACCCTCGAGCAAAAACCAATTTTAAACAATGTCAAATTCACACCTCTTTGCCGGAAAATGTTGAAACAGAGGAAAACCACTTCAGCACCAAATGCTTCTTCACAAAGCTCACCAATTTCGCAGAGCGTATTCAACAGCTTCATCTCTGTGTTGGAGAACCAATATCAAACAAGCTCAGCTAGCTTCCCAAATCTCCTACGCTCTCTTACAAAGACGCAACTGGGTACCACTCCTCCGAAACCTCAGTCTCTTCCCCAAACTGTCGCCTTCTCTCTTTCTCCAAATCCTCCATAAAACCCAGAACAACCCACAAGTCTCTTTGGAGTTCTTCAATTGGGCCAAAGTAAATTTGAGGTTTGAACCGGACCTCAAATCCAACTGCCAAATCATCCGAGTCTCACTTGGGTCGGGCCTTGTTCGACCCGTGAAACCCATCTTGGATTCTCTAATTCAAACTCATCCTGTATCAGAGCTTGTACAGTGCATTACTCTAGCATGTAAAGGTACAGATTCTCAATCCACTACGTTAAGTCTTGTTCTTGGATGCTATTCAAGAAAGGGTTTGTTTAGGGAAGGCTTGGAAGTATTTAGGAAAATGAATGTTCTTGGTTGTGTTCCTTCAGTTGTTGCCTGCAATGCTCTGCTTAATGCTATACAACGAGAAAATGAGATTAGATTAGCGTGGTGTTTCTATGGCCTTATGATCCGGAATGGGGTTTTACCAGATCGATTTACATGGTCACTGGTTGCTCAAATTCTTTGTAAAGATGGGAAATTTGAAAGAATTCTTAGACTTTTGGATTTGAACATTTATAATTCTATGGTGTATAATCTTCTTGTTGATGGTTATAGCAAAAGTGGCAACTTTGATGCTGCATTTTCCCACTTAAACGAGATGTGTGATAGAAAAGTGGATCCTGATTTTAGTACTTATAGCTCTATTCTTGATGGAGCATGTAAACTTGGGAATGTGGAAGTGGTTGAAAGGGTAACAAGTGTTATGGTAGAGAAGAAATTGCTTCCCAATTGCCCTTTATATGAGTATGATTCAGTAGTTGAGAAGCTTTGTGACTTGGGCAAAACACATGCCGCGGAAATGTTCTTTAAGAAAGCATGTCATGAAAAAATTGGACTCCAAGATGGTACCTATGGGCTCATGTTGAAGGCATTGACTAATGAAGTGAGAACAAAAGAAGCAATTTCGGTTTATCGTCTGATTTCTGAAAGGGGTATTGTAGTGGATGGCAGTAGTTATCATGCATTTGCAGTTATAAGTAGAGGGTGTAGTCCTTCTGCATCGGAGCTGTCCAGTTTTATATCATTTCTGTGTCGTAGGGGTAGATGGAGAGAAGCAGAGTATCTGTTGAATGTTGTTCTAGACAAGGGGCTGCTACCGGATTTGATTTGCTGTTCCCCATTAGTGGGGCGATACTGCTCTGGAAGACAGATTGATTCAGCTATTGCATTGCATAATAAGATGGAAAAATTGAATGGCAGCTTGGATGTAACAACCTACAATGTACTTCTCAGTGGGCTGTTTGCAGCAAGGAGGATTGAAGAAGCAATGAGAGTGTTTGATTACATGAGAAGACACAACTTGATGAGCAGTGCAAGCTTCACAATCATGATCCGTGGGCTCTGTGGTGTGAAGGAGTTGAGAAAGGCAATGAAAATTCATGATGAAATGTTGAAGATGAGGCTGAAACCTGATGCAGCAACTTATAAGCGTTTGATATCTGGGTTCCAAGTAACCTTATCAAACTTAGAAACTAGAAATGAGGGTGATGAAGCAAAGTGAGTTTTGTTTTTGTATTCCCAATTTTGGACATTAAAAAGAGAATCTTTCAATCTCTGTGGCAATTTCCAATTCGTTCTATCAATGTGGCTCGAGCCAACTGAACAAAAGATGTACAAATACAATTGGACAAAACGACATGTCGTTCATTTTAACGTCCAATAGGCTTCTCGTCCTCCACACGAAAAGGTCAACACTCAAGACTCAAAATCAACTCTTTGCCCTTGAGGCTTCTTCTTCCTCTTCCCACAAAGCAAAACCCTTTGCTCTCTGTAAGAAGTGAAAATGGGCCCAATTCCGAAACTGCCCCTTGTCTTCCTCATCACCACCCTCCTCTTTCTCACCACATTCATTGGGTTATCCGAATCCAACTCGGACCAGGTCGCCGAACTCCTTTCCCTCCAAGCCCGATCCAAATCTGGCGTGATCCGCCTCGACGACCACTCACTCTCTCGATTTCTGACCTCCGTCAAAACCCCAAGGCCCTACTGGGTTCTCATCTTCTTCGACGCCGCAAAGCTCCACGACAAGCATGAGCTCCATCTCAAGGAGCTCCGCAGCGAGTTCGCTCTCGTCGCTTCGTCTTTCATCGAGAACAATGAAGACCCATCGTCTTCTTCTCACGCCAAGTTGTTCTTCTGCGACATCGAGTTTCAAGACTCGCAGCACAGCTTTGCCCAATTCGGAGTCAACTCGTTGCCTCACATTCGCCTCATCGGACCCAACCACAGCCTCAAAGAATCCCAGCAAATGGACCAGGGCGATTTCTCGAGATTGGCTGAGTCAATGTCCGAGTTCATCGAGTCCAAGACCAAACTCGTCGTGGGTCCGATTCAGCGCCCTCCGATGCTATCCAAGAAGCAAGTTATGTTCGCTACCATCGCGTGGTTGATTTGGTTACCCTTTATTGGGAGGAAGATCATCAGTGGCAAGACTTTGCTTCACGACCCAAGAATTTGGTTATCTGGGGCTGTCTTCATTTACTTCTTTAGCGTCTCGGGCGCTATGCATAACATCATTAGAAAAATGCCCATGTTCTTGGTTGATAGAAATGACCCTTCAAAGCTCATATTTTTCTACCAGGGCTCCGGAATGCAGCTTGGAACAGAAGGCTTCACAGTTGGGTTCTTGTACACCATTGTTGGGTTGTTGTTGGCATTCCTCACCCGCGTGCTTGTTACCGTCCGCAATGTCAAGGTGCAGCGTATTGTTATGATTATCGCGCTCCTTGTTTCGTTTTGGGCGGTGAAGAAGGTGGTCTACTTGGATAATTGGAAGACCGGTTATGGAGTGCATGCTTTTTGGCCTTCGAGTTGGAACTGAGCTTGGTGAGGATGAGGATGCCAACTCACCACTTGAGCTTCTATAAAGGTGATAGATCTGTGTTAGTGAAAACTTTGATAATGAATTTATCCTGAGAAAGATGTGTACTTTTTGACAGTTGGCTTATATTATGTTTGAAAATTGAGAACTATGTGTTAGAAAATTTCTATTATGATTACATGCTTTGTGTTTATGATGTTGGTTATATCTGGTTTGGAGCTTTCGTGGGCACACCAAGTTATTTATGTTATATTAAGCTCCTCATTGCAACCAAGCTGTATGCCTTCCTTGTTAAAGCAAGTATTTTAGTCAATATCTTGTTTCTGTGTTGGACGAGTTACAAGTATGCTTGTTGCTACTTCTGGAGACCATTGCAAGCTGCAATCTCCTCTCCTTATGAACACTGTCATCCAGATCTTTCTACCCCTGGTTATAACTTAACTAGTTGTATGCAATTTTATTTTGGTGCATAAGTTTTTGTATGTAACTATGTACTGAAATGTCAACCGCATGACCTGTGTTTGCCAAGATGTTTGAAAAGTCAGTTTTGCTTTAGGATTTGTGGGAAACAATCAGTGCCATCATATGTCATAAAGAGAACAATTTATGTTGTTGGACAATGTATGCAAAAACTTGATGAATTGTGTTACTGGCTGTGCTCGATGACAATATATCCTTATTGTCATATTTCTCAGTTGTTAGTCTTTACCTGTGAGCATCAGATGATTTCGTGCTTAAGAATATATACAGGGTTTGCAAGTAGCTGATGCCTTAGTCTTTCTGCGACTTGGTCTACATGTGAAGTGACATTTTGGTTCATGGATGAAGACGTTATGTATTCATTTTGTCAATCGTCTGTTTACTCATACTGGTTGATTATTAAACTTAGTGTTCAGTATATGGTGGGTATTCACATTTTGATGTGCATGAATACCCTTATCCACTGGCTGACTATGACTAGGCATCAAGATTAACGATAGCAAATGGAAATACTGGTATTCGTATTGCAATCTGTGGGAATTGCCGGTATGGAGTTTATGGTAGGATAAAATCTTTACTCAAGCTGAAGGACAGGTTTGTTAAATGCCAAGGGCACTAGTGAAGAGATGCTTTCAGCTCTTGTATGAAAGACAATGTGAAGAGAGAAGCTCTTGGCTTGAGTGGTTAGAATCTGAAGCCAGGAAGGGATGCCCAGTGGCTTCTGACTAGGTTTCGTAGGTTAAGTTGAAGGACCCCTGCTTACCCAGGTATTGTCTAGTAAAGTTTCTCATTCATGAAACTGAACCTGCACTCTGTTTAGCCAAGCATGTTGTGGTGCAGGCAGAAGGCAAAATGTTCTCTTTAATATGCCAACATTCATAATCTGGTCATATTAGTCCCTCAATCAATTTCACAGGCTTGTGGATTGAATCACGCACATTCGAAACCTCTGCAACCTTTTGTGCATCTTTAACCTTGACACTGGCCTGCCGAGGATGCTGGGTTGAATGTGTGCATTGGTGAGTCAAAATATCCATGCATAATTGTTTCTGTAGTGTATGTATTGACCATGTGACATCAAATATTGCACTCCCAACTTCCCATGTGACGTGCCTTGTAAAAGGAAATGTAACATGATAATTATATGCGACTTAAAGTTGAATGATGCAGGCAGATCCATAATCGGTGTAGTTGTAATTTATTGGAAAATACGTTCTTGGGTTATATTTCTTGAATTAGAATCCAGTGACGGTAAAGCTTACCCCTGTTGGAATGGGTGGTCGCCGAGGAAAGTATATATTCCATATACTTTCGGCACTACAAAAAAGAACCCCACAAACCGTAAAATTGCAGCAGTCTTTGATTCCCCCATTTTGGATTGGCTAATTACCCTTGTATCCCTCAATTTTTTATGAGCATCCCTTTCTGGAGGCTAAAATGCTCAGGGGCATGATGGCCCATCTGGTGCTAATTAAGCAAACAAATCTTGTGTCGTCTCTTTCTTTTATGTGTTAGTGCACATGTTAGGCACCTTTTGCCAAACCCAGCTTCCTTATATTCGTAGCCAGAATTGGAATGTGAGGAGAGAGAGAGAGAGAGAGAGCGAGATCAAACAGAGGAAAGCAGAAATGGAAGAACAAGCTGAAATGGTGGGAAGGGCATTTGTGGATCATTATTACCATCTTTTTGACACCGAAAGAGCTTCCCTCTCTTCTCTCTACCAACCAACCTCTATGTTGAGCTTTGAGGGACAGAAGATATTTGGGGTGGATGATATAACTTCAAAGCTTAACCAGTTGCCGTTTGATCAATGCAAACATTTGATCAGCACCGTTGATTCACAGCCATCATCCCCAACTGGTGGCATTGTGGTCTTTGTCAGTGGCAGCCTCCAATTACCAGGGGAAGAACACCACCTAAGATTCAGCCAGGTAATTATTTAATGGAAACATTCACATTATTTAGTTTGTTTGCAATTACATGGAAAGAAAAATAAGAAAGGGAGATCGATCACTTTGAAATGCTCTTGTCTTGTTGCAGATGTTCCACTTGATTCCCACGCCACAAGGAAGCTTCTTTTTGCAGAATGACATATTTCGTCTCAATTATGGTTAATTTCTAAATTATTACTCAAGCTCTGGGCGGGCTTCCCAAATATTTGCTTAAATATTGTTGTACTTGTGACTCTTTGACTCTTGACGGAATAATAAATATGCTTCTCTCTTGTTAATTTTCCATTCCTTGATGTATAATCGTCATATGGTTTTTCAGTTTCTTTACCAGCTTTTTAACCTAACTATTGAATTAAATTTAAATCCAATGACCTTAATTATTAAACCACACACCCAAGAAGAAAAATACCAAAAACAAGAGACTCGTAGTAGTTCAGAGCATTTATCCATGCACCTAACGGACGGAAATCAAATAGACAAAACCCTAGTTGCTAGGCTCCATTTGATTTATACTCAGTTTGGTTTTGGTTTTTGGGCCCCGTTTCAACCATAAATGTAACGGCCCAAGAAATGAAATTTGGGCCAATCTTTGGGTGAGAATAATGGTCTTGTTTTCTTTGTTTAAGGGTGAGAATAGTGTCATTGTCTAATCATATGCGTTTTGAAGGCCCCGCCTAAGTCCCCCTCACTATTGAATGACTTGTGGGGACTCCCCTCCCACTAGTGCTGAAGATTAAAGAATGTGATCCCACTGTTTCGTTGTTTCTTTGAAAAAAGAATGCGCACTGGTTTGGTTTGTTGCTTTTTCTACAAATGATGAGCATCACTTTCGTCTTTTCATCAATACCCATGAGAAAAGACTGTTAGAATGTCCTCTAAAGTCTCAAAGGCAAAGATATCCTCACCATAATTATGACCTAAAAACAACACCCATGAATCATGATTCATGACCATGCTTTCCAACCCAAACCCTTATCCAAACACAGTCAACTTGTAAAACAAAAAAGAGTTTCACTACTACCTCTTCAATCTAGCCGTCAGTCACTGTACAATTCTAAATTGGAGTCAATTTCACATTGGATGGAATGATTTTGCTACAATTAGTCACAGGTTCTGCACAATTTTAACTCTTCTATTGAGTATTGTGAGTCCTACAAGGTAGCATTGTTCATACACGTTTAATGTAAATCACGGTCTTTTGAGCTAACAGCGCATGCTAGGTTAATGATGTTAAACGTACAAAAATTGAAATTGAGATGCTAATGACTATTAGGTAATTAATAAATATGAGGTTTATCAGAATCATGATGCAACTTCTTGACTTTAAAATACATTATCATCATTGCTTAATTTATTATTCTAGTACAAGTTCTGGTCTATTTAAGAACTATAGGACAAGAGAAACTAAAGCAAGCAGCAAGAGAGAGATCTTTACTTAGCTACTAGAATATGGCAATCCAACAGCCTCTCCTTGAATCTCCCAAAACTTCTACTCCTCACTGCAAACCCCTCTATCTAATTCTATGCTTAGCTGCTATTCTTAGCTCCACTACACTTGTAGGCATCCAAGTGATGACCAAAATATCCTCATCATCTTCTTATCCTCCACCAACCCACATATGTGACCATGCCCATGATCAGAAATCATGCTTAGCCATGGTCACTGAAGTAGCAGGGGACAAAACCAAGCCAGTGAGTGATGTTCATCTGCTACAATCCCTCCTAGAAAAATCCACACCACGCATAGAAAAAGCCCTTGAGATTGCCAAAGATGCTTCTTCTAGAATTAACAATCCCAAAGATCAAGCAGCTATTGCTGATTGTGTGGAGCTAATGGATGTGTCCATAGACAGAGTTATGCACTCTACAATAGCTCTCCAAAATTTTACTCTGCAGAATTCTCTTGAAGATGCTCATGCTTGGCTTAGTAGCATACTCACTAACCATGTCACATGCTTGGATGGTCTACAAGGACCAGCCAGGACCATTATGGAGCCAAGGCTCAATGACTTGATCTCAAGGTCAAGAGCCTCCCTCGCCATCATGGTTGCAATTTCGAACCTATCGAAACTGAAAGCAGAGATCCATGAGCCACTGAATGGGGAGTTTCCAAGTTGGGTCACAAGCAGGGACAGAAGGCTTTTGCAGGATTATAATTTGGCAAAGGAAGTTAAGGCCAATATTGTGGTGGCAAAGGATGGGAGTGGAAACTACAAGACTGTGAAGGAAGCAGTGGCAGCTGCCCCAAACAATAGCAAAACCAGGTACATTATTTATGTGAAAAAAGGCACCTATAAGGAAAATGTTGAAGTTGGAAAGAACAAGAAGAATTTGATGATTGTTGGAGATGGCATGGATAACACTGTCATCACTGGCAGCCTCAATGTTGTTGATGGATCAACCACTTTCAAATCTGCAACTCTAGGTAATTAACAAGCTTAATTTAAAGTAGTCTAAATTATCGCGACGATCTTAATTATATTTATTTTATATTCTAGCATCAAAAATAATTTGTGGGTGTTTCCATTGAATTTGTTGTGCCAATGCAGCTGCCGTTGGTGATGGGTTTATAGCCCAGGACATGTGGTTTCAAAACACAGCCGGGGCAGTAAAGCACCAAGCTGTTGCACTGCGTGTTGGGGCAGACCAGTCAGTGATAAACCGGTGTCGTATCGACGCTTACCAAGACACTCTCTATACCCATTCCAACAGGCAATTCTACAGAGATTCCTACATAACAGGCACAGTGGACTTCATATTTGGAAACGCAGCTGTTGTGTTTCAAAACTGCCAACTTGTGGCCAGAAAGCCCATGACTGGACAAAATAACATGGTCACCGCCCAAGGACGCATAGACCCGAACCAAAACACTGGAACTTCTATTCAAAAATGCGACATAATCGCAAGCTCGGACTTGGAGCCTGTGAAAGGGACGATCCGATCCTACTTAGGTCGGCCATGGAAGGAGTATTCTAGGACTGTTGTGATGCAGTCGAAGATTGGTGACCACATTGACCCAACTGGGTGGTCTATTTGGAGTGGGGATTTTGCATTGAAGACATTGTACTATGGAGAATACGCAAATAGTGGAGCTGGTGCTGGGACCAGCAAGAGAGTCAAATGGGCTGGTTACCATGTCATCACAAGCCCAACGGAGGCCCAAAATTTCACTGTTGCTCAGCTCATCCAAGGAGGGTCATGGTTAAAGTCTACAGGGGTTGCTTATACAGAAGGGCTGTGATCATTTGGGGCCATTATAACATGACTTGGGCCTCTTCTCTCTGTTTATGCTCTGTTTCAATAAACGTGTTGCTGTGGACTTCTCTCTGTTTCTGCTCTGTTTTAATTTATTGAGGTGTCAACCAATCAGTATTGACTTTAATCATTTTATAATTAGTTGTCAACCAATCAGAAAATATTTTAAAAAAAATGTTGTATGCAATCCATGTTTTGAATATACAAAGCATCTGGAGGATAATGTTAGGATCTTCATTGCAAATTCCCACCCCAAAAGTGGTCTCTAGGTGAGCAGCACATTCCCATATGAGGCAAACAAGGAAATAAGATTTTGCTGCATAATTTGCAGACCTAGAAAGAAGCAACAAAACGTGCTTCCAACAATGATCAAAAGCTCTTTACATGTCATGTCTGAAAACAGCTAAGCCAGAGCAGCATGATTGCAAGATGATACGCTACAAAAAGTAGTTGACAAATAAACTGATACATGAAAACTAGTCCTTCTAACCATATGTCAAATGCTGAAGCCTTTTTCATCAATAAGAAATCATCCATGTCCAACAGTTGGCATGAGAGGCTGAAGAAAAGGTCACTGTTGCTTGTTATAACCATACGTATGTCATACGTAATCTGTATTCATTTTAGCTAGCTTTGATAGAAAGGGAAGAGCTCATACCAGCTGGCTGAAAAATTAATGAGAGCTGGATTGCAAATTTGAATTAAATAATGTCTGCATAGAGAAGGATTCAATTCAATTGGGGAAATGGGTTAACCTGTTGCTGTCTTAAAATTCTATTTCTGTTTTTTAATTAATGGTTTTTTTTTTTACTAGATATAAATAAACAAAATGATACTCTCTTACCAAGTTTGCTTAGGGTATTGCCCAAAATACTAAAATATCCTGGAGGCTCCTCATGAAAGCAGGCCTTAAATCACAGAGTCACAGGGCCATTTTGTCATTAAAAAATAGAGTTGCCCCTTTCACTCTTAATCTACCAATTGGCTTAATTAATACTAAAATCTGAACATAGGCGCTTTTGTATATGTACAATCAATAGTCTAAACTATAAATGAGGGAATTTCACATACATAATTATAATGTCGTGGGAGTACGAACATGAAACCTTTAATTTGCAAGTCAATATCATTTTTGATTGGCAAGTCAATATCATTTTCCGCTGGGCGATACTCTATTGGCCTAAACAGAGAGGCTTAAAAGTCAGTCTAGTCAAACACACTGCACAAACAAACACAGCTTCTCTTTCTGTGTGTATCAGATATTTAGCCCGCAATTTAAGTATTTCTTTCTTGCATTATTGTGTGGAGGGCTCTGGCCTCTTGCATTTTTCAGAGAGCCTCTGAAAGAAACTAAGTAAAACCAGCACCACCCAATTTCTTTTGTATTGTCTTCCACTCTCTCCATCTTAATTTGTCCCGTCTTTCACACCCTTCTCTCACCTTTCGTTTTTTTGGCTGTTTTCATTTTTCGTCCACCTTTCCTCCTTTCCTCTTGAGCCGTCTCTTCTCTTTCTCTGTGTCTCTCTGACTCTCTTTTCTCTGCCTGCCCACATTTGTAGATAAATCCCATTACACCATTCTTTCCAGTTTTTTTCTTCTTTTTTGCCCCTTTTAAATTTATCCTATCATTGTTTTTGGTTGTTTAATTTGTTTCAATCAGTGGTTTCTGGGTTTTTGTTATTACACCAAGAGCTCTTCATTCCATAAAGAGCTTTACATGTTCTGCAATCCATCAAGAGTTGCTGTGCAAAAATGAAGCATGAAACTTGGCTACCTCTTCGTACCTTCATAATCATCCTCTGAAGGTGCGCTCCTTTTCATTGTTTCTTTGGTGAAACGATTTCTTATATAATCAATAACAATTGGGCTTGTAACTGCTTTTTATTTTGTGGAACTCTTAGAATCGTGTATCTTCTATAAATGTATTAATATTTTACAAAATCCGTAGTCAGATACCAATCTTCATTCACAGGGAAAAAGAAAAGTTCCCAAATCACATGCAATGAGAGCCTTATTTCACACTGCTCTTGCCCTTTTTTCTCCTTTGGAAATATTTTAAGAAAAAATTCCGTCTAAGTACATATTTACTTTCTGGCAGGCAAAAGGATCCATATCTCCCAATCTTTAGCTTTGGTGTTTGCTTCCCTGTTGTTTGCACTCTCCAAAGAGGCTGTTTCATTGGGTTTGTAGTTTCTACCACCATGGCAACCAAGATTTTCAAGTACTTCTCTCAAATGTTTGGTAATTATCTCTCACTTTCTGTCTGATGTATCAATATCTATTGTTTATTTACCTTGTATATCAAATCAATTTGGATTTTGATGATTTGATGGCTAAGCTGTAAAATGGGTTTTTTTTTTTTTTTTTTTTGGTTGCTGCAGTTGTGAAAGAGCGTGAAATGGAAATTGGGTACCCAACAGATGTGAAACATGTAGCACACATTGGCTGGGAAGGCCCATCTGATAGCGCTCCCACTTGGGTGCGTATAGCTAGCTAGGCTAACCTGCAAAACAATGTTCTTCTATCCCTCTTGTTATTAATTTGTCTTTTCGTGGCTCCCATGTTTGATTATTCAAACCTACCAACCAAAACATGTGCTGATTTACTTAATTGTTTGTTAATTATGAGTAATTATGCAGATGAACGAATTTAAAAATGGACCAGATTTCTCAACCAGCTCGCTTGGTAGTAACGCTGGTGATCGGATGGGTTCCTCTAATCCTATGGCTTATTCTCCTTGGTCCTCTCAAGGTATGCTTTGAGTCTTTGATCATCACTATAATGCAGATTTTCATTTATGTATGTATGTATGAAATAATTTATGCATGCTTAGGCCAGAACATGCGTGCGTACTAGGTAAAATAATGCAGAACTGATAGCTGGGACCTGAGTGTCATATGAATGATTTTAACGCTAGCTTAGCTTGTCAATTTGTTCCATTAAACTACGCCTTGTATCATGTGCAGTTGTGCAACAGTATCGTTCTAACCAGACAAGTTTGAGCAGGGTCTTTTCACGGGGTCAATAGGTTTAGGAGATATGTGGTTAATGTCTGTTTTAGTTTATTGGTATAAATTTATGAGGTGCGCAAAAGTTTTCAAGATTCTTTGCCCCAACTGCAAGGTTTTGGCTCTTCTGTCACGAGGCAACACACTTTCCTACCTAGAAGAAATATGATAGCTCGTGGGCCTTGGCCTTCTAGAAAGGAAACGCTAGCTTGTTCTTGGTGGTCCACAGGGCTTTGCTAAGTTTGAGATTTGTACCATTACTTTAATTTGGTTGATAAAATACTACTTCACTGTCAATATTTTGATCTTTGGTCTGGTGTGATTGTTTTAGCTACTTTCGATGATGGTCAAGGCATTTTGAAGGTTGCTTGAACATTATCATTGGGATTATTATATCAATTGTCTTAAATCGAGCAATAATTTCATCTTACAGAGGTTTTAGGATTGTTAGGTTTGTGTGTGCCTATCATTTCCCGTGGTATTGTGGTGTGGTTGAAGTGGTCAAATCTTGCTGTGGTGTGTTGCTTTCACCAATTTATTTTAGATTGTGGTGCTTTCCATGATTGAAGAAGACACTTTAACCTCTCTTTTGCTTTTGTTTCTGTAATCTTTTGTGACAGATTTTGAGCATTCGATGGGACACCAACCGTCCCCAGACATATTCAGAGACCTTCCTCGTAGTGAACTTCCTAATGTGCCCAAGAAACCAAAGCGGAAAAAGGTCAAGTCTTCGTCTCCCTCGGCATCAAGATCCTCAAGAGCAACAAAGTCAAAGGCGACTGCATACACCCAAATGGAGGCAACACAAAACCTGCTAATATAGAAAGAGTGGAATGCAAGATTATGAAATTTGGTCAATCAAAGTTAAAGATAAACTGTCAATGTGCATAGAAAAGGATTCTGGGTGCCCATATTTTGTGCTTGCTCTGCAATGTCCACAAGGCCAAGAAGGAGTTAAGATCCAAATATTTGGACATGGCTTATGTAAATTTTTAGAAAAGCATGATGGAAATTATGTGGTCGGAGAAACTCTGGAACTTATGTGAATTTGAAAAGTGGATGATCATTGTGCAAAGGGTGACAGCCAATTTAGGAAGACACCAAGTTTTTGTTTTGACATGAATGTAATAAAACATGCAGTCAGGTTAAGAATTTAGTTGTGCTGGTGGATGGTTTGCTCATTCAGATTATTGAACTTTAACAAGAATACAAGATGTTCACTTTTACTAACGATTCTCAAGTTTTTTTTATAATAAAAAAAATGTTATACCAGCAAATTGTGACTATTATTATAAAAATAAAAATAAAGCAATGTGAAGGTAAAGGAAAGCTTTTCTGTACACCAGCAAGCAAATTGGGCCTTTTTTTTATCATGATCCGAAAACTATTGGATTAAAAAAGGGAAACCAAATTACCAGCAAACTGATCATGTGTTTTGGGAGTAGTTGTCAATAATTCTTGCTCACTAATTACCTTTTTATAGCGGTGTGCAAAATCCAATCTAGTCCGCCTAAGTCGATCGATTCAATCCAATCCAATTTAATTATAATCGGTTTCACACCAAACCATCAAGGAAAAGGATTCAATTTCCTGGTTAGTGGGAAGACATAAGGTTTAGGACATAGGGTTTTGAACTCAACCAATTTAGTGGGCAGACATGATGCTCTTGGCTAAAAACTTGATGGGTTTTTTTGTTCTCCGTTTGTTGTCTTGCCTTCGGCCTTTCTTCCTTTGGCAATTTGGGTTTTAGCTACCCCTTGGGCCTTCACCTTTTTCGGCTTTATGTATCTTGTTTCTTGACCAAAATAAATATAAACAAAACAATAAAAAGCTACAAATTTTTTGTGTAACAAACATTGAGATGTGGCATACGCGGGTTAGCCAGGTAGTGAGTCCACCCCTTTATACTCAAGCTCGAGTCATTCCTTTGTTGATTTAGATTAATTTAGGGTAATTTAGATAATTTTTTATATAAAAATACAAAATAAAGACAATGAGATGTTGGCGGGAAAACACTGTAGTCTTCCCAAAAAAAAATTCCCTGGAGATATTAGTGTCATTCAATTATTTCGAGAGTTGGAAAATTCAAATGACCGTTAACCGTTACCTTGCCTAATACAGCGGTAAGGTCAGGGGATGAGGTTTCGTCCGACTTATCCTCCACAAGTTTATCACTCTCTCAACTTTTTTGAGTTTTATCTTTTGGCACCCATTTCTCAATTGCTCCCTTTGCTCTGTTCACCATTCACTCCACAATTTCAAACAAAAACTTAGCAATCCAACCAAGTTTCATCTATCAAATCAAATATCCTCCATTAATCAGAGAGAGCTAGTTAGCTAATTTGAAATCAACCCATGTCACATTTTCATATTAAAAAACATACCACCCTGTAACATCTTCCCTGTAATTGTGAACAAAAGACATGAAAAGGGCTTGGTGGGTTGTAATTACACTCATGTTTGCCTTGTTTGGTTTTGCATTTTCGGTAACCAGTGCTCAAGATAATGGCGATGGAGGAGATCAACAACCAGCTGCACCAACCCCAGCACAACAAGATTGTGATGGGATTTACATGAGCTATGACTTCGAATCTCGGCGCAAAATCTACCCTTTCCTCAAGAATGCGGAGAAGCAGGCATGGGCCTTCAAATCCACCGCACACATAGTCAACACAGGCACATACGAGCTCAAGGCCTGGAAGATTTATGTTGGGTTTCAACACAAGGAGATTCTAGTTGGTGCAACTGGTGCAGTTTTGATGAACGGTGATGATTTCCCGGCTGATGTTGGGAATGGGACTTACCTCTCTGGATCAGGACAGACAGATTTGAAAACCTCAATTAGCACTGCAGGAGATTACACCCAAATTCAAGCCAAAATTCAATTCAGTGGAACCATGTTTGGTGTCAAGCCATCTGGGGTCCCCATGCCTAAAACAATACGGCTTGTTAACGATGGATACAAGTGCCCCTCACCGACCAATCGCAGTAAGTGCTAATTCATTGAGAAATGTTCTCTTGTCATATTGTCAATCTGAATCATTCGTCACGTTGATTCTTACATGAACATATATGTTTACCATTCTAATATTTGCTTTTTGGTTTTCTGTTCTTTCTTAATTTGGTCATGGCTATACAGAGGGGTCTATGTATGTATGTTGTGTTAGGAACCCAAAGTTTAAGGCCAATGTAACAAAAACCAAGTTCTTGCCTCGGCAGAAGGGCGATCTCACAATAGCATATGATGTTATTCAAGCCTACGAAAATAATTACCTTGCTCAGGTAACAATGGAGAACTGCAGCCCTTTGGGACGTTTGGACCATTGGAACTTGACCTGGGAATGGATGAGAGGGGAATTCATATACAACATGAAAGGCGCTTATCCGCGTACAATTGATTATTTGAATTGTATATATGGTGATGCTGGAAAATACTATCAACAGATGGATTTTTCCAAGGTCTTGAACTGTGAAAAGAAACCGGTCATCGGAGACCTACCTAGAGAGAAAGCAAACGATACTCAAGTTGGGAAGATACCCAACTGCTGCAGAAATGGTAGCATTTTGCCTCCTATAATGGACCAAAGCAAGACCAAATCTGTATCCACCCGAAAGATTTAAAGTGGATGGGGTGCTCAATCCAGAATACAAATGTGGGCAACCTATAAGGGTAGATCCTGCTCAATTTCCAGACCCAAGTGGTCTTCAGGCTACAAGCTTAGCCATTGCAAGCTGGCAAATAGTTTGCAACATAACAAGGGCCAAAACCAGGAAGCCGAAGTGTTGTGTTTCATTCTCTGCTTATTACAATGAGTCTGTGATCCCCTGCAACACATGTGCCTGTGGTTGCAGTGACACAAAAAAATGCAACCCAAAAGCCCCTGCCCTTCTTCTCCCTCCAGAAACACTTCTTGTTCCCTTTGAAAATAGGACAAAGAAGGCCATAGCTTGGGCAAGCATAAAGCACCATCATGTGCCCAAGCCACTGCCTTGTGGTGACCATTGTTCAGTTAGTGTAAATTGGCATCTCTTATCAGATTACAAGGATGGCTGGACAGCTAGAATCACATTATTCAATTGGGACAAAACCAACTTTGAAGATTGGTTTACTGCCGTGCAGCTCAAGAAAGCTACCGCTGGTTATGAAAAGGCGTACTCTTTCAATGGGACCAAAATTCCCAAGCTGGACAACATCATCTTCCTCCAAGGCTTGAAGGGCTTGAATTTTTTGGTGGCTCAGAAAAATGGAACGAAGCCGGAAAAAGATCCCAAGGTACCTGGAAAGCAACAATCTGTGATTTCCTTTAAAAAGAAGCATACACCAGACATAGAAGTAGCTAAAGGAGATGGGTTTCCTACAAGGGTGTTTTTCAATGGAGAAGAATGTTCTCTTCCTACTCAACTTCCACTATCACACGGAAACTGTCTTCATGTAAATTTTGTAGTTGCAATTTTCCTTTCACTTCTGAGTTTTGTTATGTAATTAATTAATCTTAGGCTAAAACATATTGTTCTTCATTTATGCCCTAGGACACAAATTAAGTTAGCTGCAGAAATCTAGAGTACTTCCTTGTATGATATAATTTCTATCTAATTTTGTAGTAGTAGCAACAGTAGTAGAAGTATTTACCAAGATCTTTGTCTAAATTTAACAAGAAGATAAAAGAAAGAAAGAAAAAGGGTCAAAGAAACTATGCAATTTCCTACAACTCCCGTTTTGGGTAGAAACTTAATGTGACCCACTTCTTTCACTAATTGATTTCGTATCGAGTCCAAAATTTGGGAAACATTATAATTTTGTGGGAGACTTCAGACCAAAAAATGGAAAAGGAAAAAAGAAGGGTGACTTGGGCATGGCCCTACTCTCCAAAGCTCAACCTAGCCCAGCCCAATTCTTGTTATATGTTATGGCTTATGGCCCAAACTATTTTCCACATTATTTAAACAAAACAAAAAGACCGTCGATTGTATCTATAGTATTCACATAAACAAGAACGAAAGTGATGGCAACAACCGTCTTCCAAACTCATTGTAACAAACTCCTCCATTGTTGTCTCCATCAATAAAAAACATACAACTCAAACAAAAAACAATAATGCCTTTTTTTCTTGTTTTAATCACAACCACCGGCCTTAACAACACCGTTACCATGTGAAACAAAGATTTGTAGCAAACATAAACACATGTCTTAATTTCATCCATCCAAATCAAACTAGACATTAATCTAAACTCATTTCACCATGGCAGGCTCTCGCAAAGGTTTAAAAATCTTTGCTGCTGTCACTGGCATTCTCCTCATTGTCATCTTAGTTGTTCTAGTCGTTCTGTTCGTTACAATCTTTAAACCCAAAGAACCTTCGATCTTCACCAAGCCGGTGACCCTAGAAAGCTTTGAATTGGTAGTTACTCCAGTGGTAAGGTTGAATGTATCAATTGGAATATTGATCACAGTGAAAAATCCAAACTATGGAGGCTTTAAGTATGAAAACAGCACAGCTCATATCAGTTATCGTGGGAATGTCGTCGCTGAAGCTCCGATCGAAGAAGACACAATTCCAGCCCGTGCGACTCATAACATCACCTCTTCTGTGAGTATTTTAGCTGATAAATTGGTTACTGATACCCATTTTATGGGTGATGTGATTTTGGTTGGGGTATTGAATTTTACTTCAGAAACCACCCTGCATGGCAAGGTGAGCTTGTTGAAGGTCTTTAAGATGAAGGCAACTAGTTATAGCGAATGCAACATCTCTATCACGATCAAAACCCAGAGCGCTGACTCCGTTTGTAAATCCAGGGTAGAATTGAAGAAATAAAGTTCGTTGACAAACTGTTAATGTAAACCACACATTATGATGAATAAATTTACAATCAACTTATGTAGTATTCTAGGTATAGGATAATATATATTTATGGAGATTATAAATGATGATAAATATGTAGTTTGTGTACTACACACCAATGATTCATTTGTTTGTTTGTTTTTATTTTGGGTCTTGAACTTGATTTATAAAAATTAGTGTTGTGGAATTTACCAACTGATTGTTGCCATGGAAATAAAGGAAGTTGTTGTATTGCTTTCAATATTATTTATTAGATGAACCCCTTAATATAAGTATTGGTGTAAATTTATTCTAAGCACTTATCTTTTCAACTCCCAATTGGTGATTCTCCCCAACTAAGAACGATGCCACCTTGAAGAAGGTTGAGCAGTTTTATAATGTATGTATGATATATTAATGCAAAACTAATTCATTGAAAGTTACATGATATTGGAATATTTATTCCTTTGCGTTTGCTCTCGACACATCCAGATTGCAATGTTCCTTACATAAAAGCTAGCTGTAGGGCCTATGATGATGAAGATTTGTTGTTCCACCAAGCAAATCAAACAAGACAAGGGATTCCCAATATTAATGTTGGCTAAGGCCCTAGTTGATCAGTGACACATGATCTTTAAAACAATATCAAGCAGAAGTAAAATTTGTGACCCACCATATTAATTTTCACTAAAACTGATAAATGTAATAAATGCAAATTTGAATTTATAATAATATGGTGGGTGAACATTTAAAAACAAGGAATGTAAATTCTTGCTATTGTCAACAAATCACCTGCCACAGATAGCTAGCCTTGCAAAAGTAAATATTATTCTTGTTCGAATTTTGATTGTTCTTTTTTGATTGATAACCCAACCCCACCCAACACAATCAAAATAATAATAGAAAATTTTGTAAGTCTAGAAGTTCACGGGGCATTCTTCAATAAGTATTTAAGTTAAGGATTGGTTACATACTTCTAATCTCGGTTGTTGGATTGCATCTAAAAGACTACCAACACATTTAATGAATACAATCCAACGGCCAAAATTAGAAATATATATGTAACTAATCCTTAAAATAAAATACTTATTGAAAACTCTCCCACTAAGACAACTCATTTAGACTATTAATTTGTATTTCCTTTTTAATTATCCTTTTCAATTAACTGATCAACCATGAAGCATCCCCTTCCCTCCAACTTTTCCTTCATCCTACCAAACCAGAAAATCTGAAGGATATATTCAATTAAGAACAAATTAAACAATGGGCCAGAGAGGGTTAGACAGGACATTATTCCTTTGATCTGGAATAATTCACATCAACGATTCAACAACAATAATACATTAATATTTTAGAGATCTCTCAATAGGAGTGTATATATATATATATATATATATATATATCACTCTAATAATTTTATTTGAAGGACGCCCTTTAGGGTATTTTATAATTTTTATTTTTTTCCCAATGATCCAAACCATCTATTTTTTTAGGTTTTCATTTAAAAATCCTTACCAAAAAAAAAAAATTAGACAAATCGGAAACCATTTAAACATCCAATTGTGTCATACAAAATCAATGAACACGATGCTTCAAGAAAGTACTAAAATTTCAATAATTTAATTGAGTGGCTAAATGATATCAGATTCAATGGATTTTTTTGCAGAGATGATCTTCGAATAAATATCTACAAAATAGATTGTTTGGATTAATGAAATACAATGTGTGGTAGGCTCTACAAAGGTGTCCTTTAGATAAACTTATTTAAAAAATTCATCAACCAAAGTTAACTGTGTGTATATAGTATATATATATGTGTGTGTGTGTGAGTGTGTGTGTGTGTGTGTGTGTGTGTGTGAGTGTGTATGTATATGTGTGTATGTGTTTCACATCAGTACATTACCAATATTAATAATTTAATATTTGATAACTTGGAAGCTAGACGTACTCGACAATTGATGTTGTCATGTAAATACAAGTGTGATGATTTGAGATATCCAATTTGAGGAATTTGTTCTTATCAACAAAAAAAAAATAAACCTAGAACCATTTGATTTTCTTCAATTCAAGTCAATTTACCATTTATGGAGATATTGTGAAATTTACTCTTATGTATTGCACTTTGAAAAATGAAAATAGATAGATAAGTTGAAACAATTTAAGAAACGAATAATATAAAAGAGTACATTTCACATCAATTAAATTTAACAAGGTACTGCTAAACGAACCCTAAAATTAACTGAGTACACCCTATGATCTAAGTACATCCTAATATTTTAATCAAATCGTAAAATTCACTAAGTACACCCTATTTAACTATCAAAAATACCCATAGTACACTCTAATACACTCTATCACACAACACTCTAATACAAATCTTAAACCATGTTTGTCTTTTTATATGAATTCGTGCTCTTTTTTAGATTTTGAGTTTGCATAAATCTTTAATTTCTTAAGTTGTTGTGGGAGTAGATTTAATAGGGCAACTTCATAGTAGGGGGAAAAATAAAAACAAAGAAAATGTTTCAATGTCCATACAAAGATTCTATATGCAATTTTTGTATGAATCATCCCAATTTTGTTTTCTTTTATGACACCAAATATTGTTTTCTTCTCTTTGTGTTGAACAAAGGAGTAAACAGTGAGTCCATCCATGTTTTTTTTTGTTTGGGACGAGACAACCAAGTTTATTCTTCAATTGATAATGATGACTGACATTTGATTAAGCAGAATATGGTAAGTAGGGTGTACTTACTAAAATTATATTTATTTCACATCAATATATTCTTTTTGGTTATTTTATATTAGGATAAATTAGTAATTCAATAAATAGTTTGGTTGTAGGATGTACTCAGATAATTTTAGAGTTCGTTTAGCAGCACTCAATATTATGTCCTATAAATTTATTTAGGGTCCATTTGGTTAGAAGAATATCATAATAAACCTGACTTGGTTTATGAATGCAATGTATTTGAAATGTTAAGATTTCAATTTTCAGTGAGATAAGAAATGAAAATGACTATGTACAATGAATCATTTGTAATCTACGTGTTGCTTGCTTTCTTAGGCAAATACAAACTCATATATATGCATATTGTAGACATGTTATTGGAAATTAATTTAACTAAAAATTATAACCTTGTTTTTAATCACAAACATGTTCTTGGAAATCAATACTTCAATGAAAAGCTTGTTATCTCTTTCAAACTCGACTTGTTTACAAATTGTGCATACCAAAGTTCAAATTTGACTTGTTTCTTAACAATCCGAATAAATTTTATTTCTTTTACGAAGCCATCAAACTCAGATGAGCCGAACTCGATATCAACATGATTATTGATTAGAATGGCATTAGTTGAGTATATATCCAACATAGGAAGCTGTTCATCTAAAAGAAAAGAAGAAGAAACAAAAATTACAATACAGAGGGAATGGCAGATGGAGTGAACGTTGAAACTTAAGTTAGGGCAGTTAAGAAGACGTAATTCATTTCACCATACTCCCTATACGAAATTTAAAACATGAGGATGATGAGGTGCCAAACCCTGACGATATCTCTCTATCTCTCTCTCTCTCTCTCTCATGCATGCTTCGCATTTACACCTCTCCTTCCCTCCATAAATGCTATCGCACCCTCTCAATACGCTCTGCATTAACTCCTTCGCTGTCACATCCTCTCCACCTGTTCCTCTTTCTTCTCCCCTTCCCTAAAGTCTCTCTCTCTCTCTCTCTCTCTCTCTTTCGCTATTTGGATTCTATCTCCTCTTTTTTCTCGTCCGTTTCTTTCTCTTTCTCTCTCTCTCTTCTTCATCACCGCATTCATATTCTTAAACCCCTTTACAAACTCTACAGAAATCTTCAATCTGCTCCCCAAACCTCACAACAATCACAACGGGAACGGAGATCTTTCTTCCCCGTAGCCTAGCTAGATCAGAGGGTCAGCTGCTTTGACCCTTAAGCTTCCATTAAGTCACCATTTTTTTTTCCTAAGTAATATATATGCTTTAGTCGAACGGATTTTGTCATATTCTTTCCTAAGTCCCCGTTTTTAATTTCTAGAAGAAAAAAAAAACTTCCGTTATTTTCAGCAGAGAGAGAGAGAGAGAGAGAGAGAGAGAGAGAGGGGTGGGGTTGGGAAAACCGAGATCGAGTTTAGTGGGCGTTATAATCCTTGTTTAGCGTGTTTGAAAACTCATTAAGTATTATCCCAGTCATTTAGCACGTAAGAACAAAAAGGCTAATGACTTTCTGAAGGCCCAAAACCGTAGTTCTAGTCCTTTCTGCCCGCTTGTTACTTGAACTAATCCTATTTAGCTTTGCTCAGACACTGCCAGACAATCTATTAAAAGTTCAAAAACCCAACAACCCCGCACAAAGAGTCAACCCCCAATAGCACCATATCCAGCAACTACCTCTTACCTCCTCAGAGTCAAAGAGAAGAGAGAGAGAGAGAGAGAGAGAGAGAGAGAGATGAATGGTGTGTGGTCTAGTCTAGGGTTTCTTTGAGAGTGAGATATGTATATGGCAGCCGGAAACATGCTTCCGGCAAGGGATAAGTGCATGAAACTTTCATTTAGGGGAAGAAAGTTGTAACCTTCCCAGCTAATATCATCGCATCTCAGGTCAGTATTCTTTTAGGCGGTGTGGGGTTTGTATAATATAACTTTTGAGATTTTGGGAATTTTTATTTTTCTAGATACATGTACATTCACGAGTATATATGCGTGTATTTTGTCATCCCAAGCCTTCATTCTATATAGGGATCATAAATATATTAGCATATATAGGTTTTTATGGGATGCATTTGAAGCAAAATCCTTTTAGGTCGAAACGGTAAATCTTCAGAGAGAGAGAGAGAGAGAGAGAGAGAGAGAGAGGGGGGGCTGGGGGGAAGACTTGAATGTATGTAGATACATGGTTTACAGCTTTATCCTGTACAGAAATTTATTTACACTTCCAGAATGGAAATACAGATCACTTGCCCTATAAACTTACCTACCATTTATTATGCTGTAGCTCTCAGATTTTTAGCTTCGGTATTTCTTACAAATTAATTTTCTCTTCCTCTAAGTTTTTTCTTTCTATGGATTGGGTCGAAGTAAGATGGTTTATTTATATTTTCTTATTTTTTGTAAATGTTTTTCTTTTTCTTCACTGTTTCTTATATATATTTTTAACTAGTGTAAGAGTCTTAATTCCAAAAAAACCTCTCTGAGTGTTGGTCTGAGTTCTTTAACATGTTTCTCAGTGTGCGGTGCCTTTTATTTTTTTAATGATAAATTCTTTGTGTTGGCAGATTGAAATTAAGACAAGAGAGATAAGTATATATCTAGAACAATATTCCTAAATTTTAGGGATTCGACGAGGAGAGAAAAATGTATCAGCCAAGCATGTTCGAGAATCACCACCATATCCTAGATCATATGACGACCAGCAGCACCCACAAAACCTCGGAAAGTACTGAAGTACTAGGAAAGAGCAGACTGCTGGACGATGATTTCGAGACCAAATCCGGCACCGAAACGACTACTGATGCTCCCTCCGGCGATGAGCAAGATCCCAACAACACCGGTCCACGCCCCAAACGAAAACGTTACCATCGCCACACCCAGCGCCAAATCCAAGAGATGGAAGCGTAAGCGTTTTGTTGTGTTGTGTTGTTTTTTCAATCTTGCTTTTAGGGTTTTTGAGATCATCAACTTCATCGTGAACACAATTTTTGTCTATCAAAATTATCAGATTCTTCAAGGAGTGTCCTCACCCAGACGACAAGCAAAGGAAGGAGCTGAGCCGTGAACTAGGGTTAGAGCCTTTGCAAGTCAAATTTTGGTTCCAAAACAAGCGCACCCAAATGAAGGTAGAAAATTACAGACACACTTATGTATGTAGAAAAAAAAAAAAAAAAACAATTCAATATGCGTTTCCTTAAAGTCATTTAGTTCCAAACTAATATTCCACAGACGAGGAATTATCCTTTATTATCTTTGAGACTTTATTTGACTTTCTAATAGTTACTAAGGACTTTAATTTTATGCAATCTCTATACACATTAAGCTCTCTCCAATAACTTGGTTTACTTTTGTGTATATGTTTTGACATTAACTATAATATTTATTCTTAGGCTCAACATGAACGCCATGAGAATTCAATTTTGAAATCAGAGAACGACAAGCTTCGCGCCGAGAACAACAGGTACAAGGAAGCCCTTGGCAATGCCACATGCCCCAACTGTGGAGGACCAGCTGCTCTTGGTGAGATGTCATTTGATGAGCAGCATTTGAGGATCGAAAATGCTCGTTTGCGTGAAGAGGTGATGATCAAAACACAATTAATTGATTCCATTTTCAATTATTTTATTTTTTTTTATAATCCTTTTTCACTATAAATGACTTCGGTTTATTGCCTGACCTATACAGATTGATAGGATATCTTCAATTGCTGCCAAATATGTTGGCAAGCCTTTGTCAAGCTCATTTTCTTCTCACATTCCACCTCATGTGCCTTCCCGCTCCCTTGATCTCGGGGTTGGCAGTTTCGGGGCTCAATCGGGTTTTGTGGGAGAGATGTATGGATCATCAAGTGATCTTCTCAGGTCAGTTTCAGTACCCACCGACGCAGATAAGCCGATGATTGTTGAGCTTGCCGTGGCAGCCATGGAAGAACTCATTAGAATGGCTCAGGCTGGAGAGCCTTTATGGGTTCCTGGTGACCATAACTCATCTCATAATCATGAAATTTTGAATGAAGATGAATACTTGAGGACGTTTCCTAGGGGAATTGGCCCCACACCATTGGGTTTGAAGTCTGAAGCGTCAAGAGAATCAGCGCTGGTCATCATGAATCATGTTAACCTTGTTGAGATTCTCATGGATGTGGTAATTAACATATATAATTGAACATTAACTGAACTTCTAATTTAATTGGAATTTGACTATATATCTCTAAATTTTTCATGATCCATGATGCGTTTCAGAACCAATGGTCTACTGTCTTTTGTGGTATTGTTTCAAGAGCAATGACCCTCGATATCCTATCAACTGGAGTAGCTGGGAACTACAATGGAGCCTTACAAGTGGTTAGTACACACTAATTAATCTGAATTTGCAATGACTCAAACAATTAACTTGTAAAACATCCTCAAAGAAAAAGTCATATATATTATGTATGCTAAAAGGCTACATTTTCTTTCTATAATGTATAGATGACAGCTGAGTTCCAAGTGCCCTCGCCACTGGTTCCGACCCGTGAGAATTACTTTGTAAGGTACTGCAAGCAGCATGTTGATGGAACTTGGGCAGTGGTTGATGTTTCCTTGGACAACCTACGCCCAAGTCCAATTTCAAGGAGTCGAAGAAGGCCATCCGGTTGCTTAATCCAAGAATTGCCAAATGGTTACTCCAAGGTGCACAATGTTTCCTACTATTCTGATTAAGTTATATAGTTCATGTGTTTTTTTTCCTCATGGTTTACTTTGTATGATTGTGTAGGTTATATGGGTGGAACATGTTGAAGTGGATGATAGGTCTGTTCACAACATATACAGGCCTCTAGTTAACTCTGGTCTTGCTTTTGGGGCAAAGCGTTGGGTGGCTACACTTGATAGGCAATGCGAACGTCTTGCGAGTTCAATGGCCAGTAACATTCCTGGTGGAGCTATCTGTGGTACACCGACATTAATACTAATAATTT